AATATTTTGCAATTATTAATATTAGTAAATAGTTTATTGAACGTTGTACACGAATGTATTATTCCTACATTGCACGAAGCGGGTATGTATTACTCTTAATCAGCGAAGTGAGGGTATGAATTACAAAATGTTGACGTTGACTCCTATGGATTCTTAGTGAGTTATAGTGTCAGGGATGCTTTTATGAGCATTTCTGTTTTCCACACCCTAATCGTTTTGAAAGATTTATAAAATGAGGACCCTTTGTGCATACAACTAATTCGTTCAATTAAGGCATATTAAGGTACCCATTCTATGAAGTAGTTGCATTTATAATTTTAAAATCTGCAGAGTAGTTTACTACGTCGCTGTGGACAAGATTTGAACCTCTGCGAGTATGACCCATTGGATTTTAAGTTCAACGCCTTAACCACTCGACCACAACAGCGTATTTACATGCGATCACATGATGAAGTTCATAGTTCTTTGATTAAAGTGAAGAACTGGTTTATAAGGAAGAATGACTCATAAGTAGAAGATGCGGATCAGAAAAACCTATTCACGCTCTCATTCTGCTCTGTTCTCTTTAGCGTACTACCGCGTGACAAAACAAAAGGGTCACTGGCGTATATCCCTTTACGGCAAGCCGCTTTGAAATTGACGCGTGCCATTGCCAGTTGGAATCTTGAATGGCAGAAAAATACAAGTGTAAAAGCTGTCTCATTATAGGTGTAGTGACAAAGGCATGCAATTATGCAACTGCATAGTTTGCTTTCCCTTATCCCGTACGGTATACCTCCCTTTCGCGTTAACTGCATGACGTAAGAGCCTCGATAGCTCAGCAGGGAGAGCGTTAGACTGAAGATCTAAATGTCGCCGGTTCAATCCCGGCTCGAGGCACACGTGTCCATTTAGCTATATTATTGTTGCAACGATAGCTTACGATGACGTTTGTAAGGAAGAGAAAGTGGGAATATGATTGGTCTATTTTTCGGTTTTATGTTCGCCGAGGAGCTTTCCAAAACACATGCTTAGAAAAGTTACATGTGAGCGTCCATCCAAATGCAGAAGTGGGCAATTTAATGGAATGCTTAAAATCTGTACTTGATTAACTCCGGGTGAGAGTGAATATGGCGTTAGATTAAGTTCGTTAG